CTTCAGACTTGAACTGAAATTTTGGCTCTTCTTGAGTCTGGAGCCTCCTGGCCTTTGGATTAGAACTACATTTTTGGCTCCCCTGGTCGCCAGCTTAGTGATTTAGCCCACAGATTTGGGGACTTGTCAGCCTCTTTAATCAAGTGAGCCAATTCCTTATAAATCTCTTTCTTTATGTCAATCTGTCTTTCTTTCTGTCTATCTAACCTCTGTATCTAGATATATCCATCCTATTGGTTCTGTTTTTCTGGAGAACCCTGACTAACACACTTAAGTCCTGGATTTTAGAAATATTCTACAGAAAGGAAAAGAGTTTGATCTACCTTTCCTGGAATTGGATTAACATGAGACATGCTTTTAAAATGATGCTTACCCTTTGATACCTTTTCATCTCCCAGATGCTTCTCATCTAAACTCTTCTTCCTTTTCCAAGATTTCAGGCTCATAGGACTTGGACGCTTCCATCAGCCCTCCACTGTAGTACCTGACCAACGCCCACCCTGTCCTTCACTTAAGGCCCACATTTTCCTTGCTTTTGAGTCCTCTTGCCAACCTCACCCCATCAAAGCCCCAACTCAGTGTCGTAGGTCTGAGGTTGGTCGGGGCGGCGGTGGGGGGGGTGGTTGGTGGGAAGCAGCCTGCTATTCAAGTGATGCATGTGTAGCTGAAAGCTTTCTAACCTTCTCAGAGTTATTTGCTAAATGACTTGGATGAAATATCAAGTAGTTTAAAAAAATGGGGTGAGGTTTGTAGGCAGGGTGGGGATGACATTTTGAGTAATTGCCTAGTGGGCAGGCAGAACAGCCCTCCTGACCTTCAGTCCGAGGGTAGGCACCTCCTATGCCCTTGCTGCTTTGACAGATTCTTCTCTTTTCCATTTCTGAAACCACAGCTTCTCCCAAAACAATAACAAATAAGCACTCCCACAGAAATAGCAGTGGAGATTCTGCTGCTGACACAAGAAAAGAGGGAGGGGGCAACCATGTGCATGTCTCTGATGGATCTTTATAAGTTAGCAAATACTTATGGTTTTGAAAAGCCCATTTTGGAAGAATATAGACTGGGGCGCCTGGGTGGCTTAGTTGGTTGTGTCCAATTTGGGCTCAGGTCATGATCTCATGGCTCGTGGGTTCAAGCCCCACATCTGGCTCTGTGCTGACAGCTCAGAGCCTGGAACCTGCTTGGGATTCTGTGTCTTCCTCTCTCTCTCTCTGCCCCTCCCCTGCTCGCTCTCTGTCTCTCTCCCTCTCAAAAATAAATAAACATTAAAAATTTTTAGAAGAATTAGACTGTTTTAAAGATGATGAGAAAATCAGAAGTCTTATATTATGTGTGGCTATAAATAAAGAGCTAAAGAGCTGGCAGGAGAGCAGATGTCAGCGGAGGCATTAGAGGTACCCTGTTTTCAAGGATGTTGGTTAGTCAGATCTGCACTGAAACTGCTTTGGCTTAAAATACTTAGCACCTAGCATATTGTAAGATCTTCCCTGCAGGTTTTCTGTGAGAAGGAGGGGGAGGATTTAGGGGAAAGATCATGATTATAATATGAAACTACAAACTCCTTGCATCTATTTCCATGTTTAAATATATTTAGATCTTTCTCATGTTAAAAAAAATTCTTTTTTTTGAACCCTGTTCCTCTTGCTGACTTCCACTCTATCACTGTCTTCCTTTGTATAGACAAACTTCTTAAAAGAGTCGTTTTCAGGGTTGTCTGGGTGGCTCAGTAGCTTAAGTGTCTGACTCTTGATCTCAGAGCCTACTTAAAAAAAAAAAAAAAAAAAGACTTGTTTTGGGAGCGCCTGGGTGGCTCAGTCAGTTGAGTCTGACTTCGGCTCAGGTCATGATCTCACAGTTCGCGAGTTTGAGCACCACGTCAGGCTCTGTGCTGACAGCTCAGAGCCTGAAGCTTGCTTCGGATTCCGTGTCTCCCTCTCTCTCAGTTCCTCCCACACTCACACTCTGTTTCTCTCTGTCTCAAAAATAAGTAAATATTTTTTTAAAAAAGGGACTTGTTTTTAGCCAGTATCTCCAATTTGTTTATCTCCCACCCATTCCTCAGCATTGGAGAGTTGATCCCCCCACCCACCCCCGCCCCACCCCACTCCCTTGTACTTCGCACCTTTGTTTTACCTAATGTCACAGAGCAGGTGCCACTCTTGGCCACTACTTCACTCAAACTGCTGCCATGGCCCTCACTCTGTTGGTTCCCCACCAATCTGACCATTCCTCTTCAGTTCTCTTTGCCACCTCTTCTGATCTGTTCATGCCATAAATGTCACTGGTCTCTAGAGTTCTGACCTGTTCTATGCCTTCCTGTCTGTGACTTCAGTTATAATCCATCACTCTTGAGTTGTAGATCTCTACTGTCTGTTGGGTATCTGCTTTTGAATGTGCAACATGTCCCATACTGAACTTACCTTACCTCCAAACCTGGTTCTTTAAAAATAATAATAGTTGGGGCGCCTGGGTGGCGCAGTCGGTTAAGCGTCCGACTTCAACCAGGTCACGATCTCGCGGTCCGTGAGTTCGAGCCCCGCGTCGGACTCTGGGCTGATGGCTTAGAGCCTGGAGCCTGTTTCCGATTCTGTGTCTACCTCTCTCTCTGCCCCTCCCCCGTTCATGCTCTGTCTCTCTCTGTCCCAAAAATAAATAAACGTTGAAAAAAAAATAAATAAAAATAATAATAGTTATTATTATAATTCTTATTATAATAATATATGTGGGCTCGTAGCCCACAGTGATCTGTGCCACACACCTGCCACCGTTCTCCTTCCCTTTGGCATTCCCTCATCTGGTCAGTCTGGGGTCATGACAATGCCAACTCCTATGTAACTCTCTAACCTGTCCCCTCTTCTCCAACCTGATTCATGCTACTGACTCAGGCCACCATCATCTCCTCTGGATTCCTGCTACATCTTCTCTCTGACCCCCTTCCTTGCTCCAGCCTATTAATTCCGTGCCCCCTCCCATTTGCCATCCACAATGCAGCTGAAGTGGCCCTTGCCAAACAAAGTTTTGATCATATCCTTTTCCATAATTAAATTCCTTCCATCCTTCTCTAAAGCAGCCCTCAGGCTGCAATTTGATCTCTTCAGCAAGGCTCCCCAGTTTTTTGTCACGTTACAAATGTAAAAGACCTCAGTATTCTTCAGCTTCCACTGTCCCAGTCCTGCCCTCCACCCCTCCCCAGTTCTTGCACATTATGCCTCAGCCACACCAAACTACTTTAATTCCTGAAATTCCCTGCTTTCTATGAGTTTGGGCCTTTGTACTTATTCTCTCTGCCTAGAACACTCCTGTCACGCCTCTTTATTTTCATATCAGTTTTAGTTAGCTTTCAGGCTTTGGTTTATACCTTACTTCTGTAATCTACTACACTAACACACCAACCTGGGATTATGCCCCTAACGTCCCCAGCACTTACCCCTTTTGTACTACTTACCATGCTCTCTTGAGACTGGTGAATGTACGGTAAGCATCTTGTAGGCAGGGATGACGTGTTAAACTCCCAGGCCCTCGAATAGTACCTTTCACATAATAGATGTTCAATAAATATTTGTGATATCACTGAATGATTTCCATAATTACTTTGGACATGTTTCTTATTAAATCAGTTGAACAAGTCATATAGAGCTCATAGGGAGAGAGCACAAATGAGGTCCAAGGCCTTAATGTCAGTTTTTGTTTTGTTTGTTTGTTTGTTTGTTTATTATATTTTTAAGTAGACTCCATGCCCAACATGGGGCTTGAATACATGATCCCGAGATCAAGATTCATAACGCTCTACTGACTGAGCTAGCCACGCATCCCTGTTTTGTTTTATTTTAATTAAAGCAAAAGTTTGGATTTTTGCAGTGTTACTGGCTGGCTATGGGTCTTAATGGGCTTACGGGATAGTATAGTTAAACCTAGACTCCAGCTAGCTGACATAGTCCAATTCCAGACCTTTAGATTTTTTTTTTTTTTTGAAGAACAGCTTTATTGAGATACAATTCATATACCATACAATTCATCCATTTAAAGTATATAATTCAGGGCTCCTGGTTGGCCCAGTCGGTTAAGCGTCTGACTTCGGCTCAGGCCACGATCTCATGGTTCACTAGTTTGAGTCCCACATCGGGCTCTGTGCTGACAGCTCAGAGGCTGGAGCCTGCTTCAGAGTCTGTGTCTCCCTCTCTCTCTGCCCCGCCTCCACTCATGCTCTGTCTCTCTCTCTCAAAAATAAACATTAAAAAAAATTTTTTTAAGTGTATAATTCAATGATTTTTAGTAAGTTCACAGAATTGTAGAACAACCATCAGCACAGTCAATTTTGAGCATTTTCATGATGCCAACAAGAAACCCTATACCCATTAGCAATGCTCCTCATCTCCATCTCCTCTCTCCTCCACTGGAAACCAGTAATCTACTTTTTGTCTCTATGAATGTGACTATTCAGGATATTTCATATAAATAAAATCATACAATCTGTGGTATTTGTGACTGGCTTCTTTCACTTAGCATGATGTTTTTAAGATTCATCCATGTTGTATCATTTATCAGTATTTTATTTCTTTTTATTGCCAAATGATATCCATTGCATGCCCCATTTTGTTTATCCATCCATCAGTTGATGGATATTTGGGTTGTTTGCACCTTTTTGGCTAGCATAAATAATGCTGTTTATGAACATTTGTGTACAAACTCTTATGTGGACGTAGTTTTTATTTCTCTTGGGTATATATATATGGGAGTGGAATTGCTGGGTCATATGGAGGACTTATGGTTCGTCTTCTTCTTCCCCTTCCCCTCCTTCTCCTTCTCCTTCTCCTCCTCCTCCCCTTACCCCTCCCCCTCCCCCTCCTCCTTCTTTTCCTTCTCAGCTACACCCAATGTGGGACTTGAACTCATGACCCTGATATGGAGTCTGATGTCCTACTGACTGAGTCATCCAGGCACCCCAGGACTTAGGATTCTTAAGAACGGAGGTTGCTTTACACAATGAGCTCAAAAACATATGAAGCACTAATAACTCTTGCTCTTTAATTTGTTTATTTACTGACAGGCAAAGTTTTACAGCTGACTCTTTGAAGAATTGGCATTAAGCAAATTTCTCTATCTGATACAAAGTAGCCAACGGATGTGCAAAGTCCAGTTTTCCTGTGTAGGGGAATAAAGGTCTTCTTGGGTTTAAACGGAAGTGGGAGAAGTTAGTATCTGTTTCTGCCCATTTCTACTCCCACTCTGCCATACTCCTGGACCACACAGGGCTGGCTGATGGAGTCACCCAGGAAAGCTTCAACTGGGAAAGCTGGCCTAGGAACTGATTTTAGCCATAATTAGATCACTGCTTCCATCTCTGTATTTATGATAAGAACTTACTGTTCCTTTTGTATGACATCTGTCTCTGGCTCTTCTTTGTTCATCTCCATCATCTCTGCCACCATATACACTCCGTTCTTCTCCCTGCTCTTTCGTTTTTCCTCACTTTCCTGGTCATGTCAAACTGTTCCTTGGTCCTATTTAAGACAATAAAGTTATGAGACTCATGTGAGTTTTAGGAGTATATCTTATATATACTTATATAAGTATATCTTATATATACTTATAAAAGTATATCTATATACTTTTATAAGTATATCATATCCAGATAAATACGGGCACCTTAAAGTAGTTGTCCTGGGTGGCTGTACATTTATTCCAAAACTTCTGTTGTTACTTAAACTAGTTTGGTTATTTATTATGTAGAGTTGCTCTCAGAACCAGTCTGATCCCTACAAGAAGACTAGTTTCATTTCCCTTAATAATCACACCTAGTATTGCAAGGGCCTCCCACTCTGCTTGTATTTATTTGCTTGTATTTATTCCCAGTTCCCTCTTTCCTTTCTTGCTCTAGTCCCCCCAATAAGAGGAGTTCTGGGTTCAGATAGGGACACAGAGACGCAGTGAAGGGAGATTGGCATGTTTCACAAGACTTTGACCTTTAAACAAAGCATGCTTAAGATGCTCCAGTGTTCCATTTCTGCTTTGTGATCCCCTCCTCAGCCTTTTTCAGAGGAAAAAAAAAAAACCCATAAAATAGTAGGGCTGGGAATATGGCCTTGAATTGTTCTCCTCTCAGGGGGAGAAATGAGTAGGGAGAAGTACTTCCAAGGGCTCAATTTCCTTCCATCCTGGGTAGTTAACGTTTTACCAGCAGTTCGTTCGCCTCTAGGGGAGACAAGGATCATGTTCCGGCCCCACCCCTCTGCTCAGGGTAGAGGGCACTTTGTACAGAGCTGTGATTTGAGAACAGCCTGCATCTGACCTTATTCTTATTTTCCAGTCTGTAGCTGCCTGTGATCTTGTATCTTCTCAGCTCTGAGGATTTTCATATTCTCTTCCTCTTTGAGTTTCTGCTCTGGGGAGAAAATGAAGATGTTTACTAGTGGGGGGAAAATAAACCCTGAAATTTGCAAAATAAAAATTAACATATAGCTGAGCTTCCTGCCCATCATGCCTCCATCTTCTCCCCAGCAGTTTCTGAACCTCCCCAAACCCCAGTGAGATTTTGGTTGGTTGTACAAATATATCTACAGGATTCCCTTAACGAGGGAGCTGTGTTTGAAGGCTTTGTGTTCTTGTTACCATCTTATCTGCTTTTCTCTTTTCCAGAGAATTCTCCTTCTCACAAATAGGTATGAGACCAATGGTCGAGAAATACAGCCTCCGTTCACCCTTCTATTAATTGCAGAATAAGTGATGCAGAGGCTGGTTAGATAATATAGCTGTGGGTAGAGAGCAAAAGGAAGCATTGGAACACCTGCCAGGGATGAGACCAGAGATCACCATTAGTGAATGAACATCCCTGGAGCAGAGGAAGGGAGGAGGTGGAAACAAGAAAGGGAGCCAAAGGAAGCCAAAGAATTATAGGAACTGAGGATATAATCTATAGGGGAATGAGGGAGGCTAGGCAGAGGATTTTGGTGGTCTCTTCTCTAGTGCCTGAAAGGACAGTTGCTTAATTAGTGGCTATTATGGGCATGGCCTCAGGGTAGATTCTGGGGATATAGAGATAAATAGATATAGTCCCTACTTTACAAGTGTACAGTCTAACAAAAACAAGTACAAATTAGATGAGACTTTCAAACGTGTAGTATTGTGGACTGGGATACTGCTACCATTACTAGCAGTAACATTTTTATAAATTGAAGTATAGTTGGCATACAAGATTATATTGGTTTCAGGTGTATAACATAGTAACTCGACAATTATATACATTATGAAATGTGCACTTACAAGTGTACATCTGTCACCATACAAAGTTATTACAATGTTATTGACTGTATTCCCTATGCTGTGCTTTTCATCCCTGTGACTTAATTTATTTTATAAATGGAAGTTTGTACTTCTTAATTACTTCCACCTATTTCACCCATCCATCCCCACACTTCCCCCGGCTGGCAACCACTAGTTTGTTCTCTGTATTTACAAGTCCATTTCTGTTTTGTTTGTTTAGATTCCACACATAAGTGAAATCCTACGGTATTTCTCTTTTTCTGTCTGACTTATTTCACTTAGCATAATACCCTCCAGGTGCATCCACGCTGGCAAGGTTTCATTCTTTTTTATGGCTGAATAATATCCCATTGTGTGTGTGTGTGTGTGTGTGTGTGTGTGTGTGTGTGTGTGTGTATCACATTGTCTCTATCCATTCATTTATCAGTGGATACTTGGTTTGCTTCTGTATCTTGCCTATTGTAAATAATGCTGCAATAAACATAGGGGTGCATATATCGTTTTGAATTCACATTTTGTTTTCTTCAGCTAAACACCCAGAAGCAGAATTGCTGGGTCATATAGTGTTTCTATTTTTAATTTTTTGAGCAACCGCCATACTGTTTTCCCTAGCGGTGGCACTAGTTTACATTCCCAGCAGCAGTACACGTGTTCCATTTTTTCCACATCTTTGCCAATACTTGTTATTTCTTGTCTTTTTGATACTAGCCATTCTGACTGGTATGAGGGGATAACTCATGGTGGTTTTGATTTGCATTTTTCTGATGATTAGTGATGTTGAACATCTCTTCCTGTGATTCTTGGCCATATGTATGCCATCTTTGGAAAATGTGTATTCAGATCCTCTCCCCATTTTATTTTTTATTTTCTCTTATTAAGTAAATTCTCCACCCAACATGGGGCTCATGAAACTCATGACCCCAAGATCAAGAGTCACATGTTCCAGGGGCACCTGGGTGGCTTGGTGGGCTAAGTGTCTGATTTCAGCTCAAGTCATGATCTTGTAGTTCGTGGGTTTGAGTCCAGCATCAGGCTCTGTGCTGATAGCTCAGAACCTGGAGCCTGCTTCAAATTCTGTGTCTCCTCTTCTCTCTGCCCCTCTCCCACTCACACTGTCTCTGTCTCTCAAAAAGATGAATAAACGTAGAAAAGAAAACAGAGTCGCATGTTCCACCGACTGAACCATCCAGGCACCCTTCCTCTGCCTATTTTTTAATTGAGTTACTTTTTTTTTTGTTTGTTTTTGTTTTGATGTTGGGTTGTATGAGTTCTTTATATATTTTGGATATTACCCCCTTATCAGATATATCATTTTCCTCCCATTCAGTAAATTGCCTTTTCATTTTGTTGATGGTTTCCTTTGTTGTGCAAAAGATTTGATGTAGTCCTAACAGTTTATTTTTGCTTTTGTTTCCCTTGCCTCAAGGAGGCAGATCCAGAAGAATATTGCTAATGCTAATATCCAACAGATTACTGCCTATGTTTTCTTTTAGGAGTTTTAGGGTTTCAGGTATTAAGTTTAGGTCTTTAATGCATTTTGAGTTTTTTTGTGTATGGTGTAGGAAAGTGGTCCAGTTTCATTCTTTTGGTATGTAGCTGTCCAGTTTTCCCAGCACTATTTATTGAAGAGACTGTCTTTTCCCCATTTTGTCTCCTTTGTTGTGGATTAATTGACCATATAAACATGGGTTTATTTCTGGGTTCTTTATTACCTCCCATTTATCTATGTGTCTATTTTTGTGCATGTAGCATATTGTTTTAATTACTATAGATTTGTAGTATTGTTTGAAATCATGATACTTCCAGCTTTGTTCTTTTTTCTCAAGATTGCTTTGGCTATTTGGGGTTTTTTGTGGTTCCATACACATTTTAGAATTATGTATTCTAGTTCTATGGAAAATACTGTTGGTATTTTGATAGGGATTGCATTGAATCTACAGATTGCTTTGAGCAGTATAGACATTTTAATAGTATTAATTCTTCCAATTCACGAACGTGGTATATCTTTCCAATTATGTGTGTCTTCAATTTCTTTCATCAGTGTCTTAAAGTTTTCAGAGTACAGGTCTTTCACCTCCTTTGTTAAATTTATTCCTAGGTATTTTATTCCTTTTGATGCCATTGCAAATAGGATTATTTTCTTAATTTCTCTTTTTGCTACTTTGTTATTATTATAATGAAATGCAATAGATTTCTGTATATCAATTTTATATCTTGCAGCTAACATTTATTGTTTGCCTACTGTCTTCTAAGCATTTTACACATGTACTAACTCATTGACTCCTGACAATAGCCCTGTGAAGTATGTATTGTTATAATCCCTGTTTTATGGGTAAAGAGTCTGAGGCACAGAGGCATTGCAAGTAGCTTGACCGATGTCTCAGAGTAGGCCCTCAGGAGCAGGACCTCCAGGTGGTCTGGCTCCGGAATATGTGCTCCTAAGTAACATGGTCATCCAAAGAGTACGCAGGAATTCTGCTGCTTCGCATTTGCATGCCTTTGTACCACTTGTTCGCCCTTTTGCCTCTAATACTTTTTCTAAAAGACTCTGGTCAAGCCGAGGATGCTCCTTTGACATCTTCTCTGATTTCTGTTGCCTATCTCAGGGGGGCAGTCACTTTCCTTGGAGTTTGAATAGCACTCTGTCAAATTTTGTTAAACTACACAGTAGTGTATTTGTTGGAATATCTGATTCCTTGTGTTATGAGCTTCTGGAGAGCAGGGACTTTTTTTTTTATGGAAAATTTCAAATAGTTGCAAAAATAAAGCTAATAATAAAATGTATCTACGTGTACTCATTGTGCAGCTCCAGCAATTATTTCATGGCCAGTATTGTTTCATTTATACTCCCCTCCTCAAACTGGGATATTTTGAAGCAAATTTCAGACATCAAATAATTTTATTAAGATTTCAATTATATTACTAAAATATAAGGTACCTTTACAAAAAACATAACCACGATACCATTATTGCACTAAAAATGAGTACTTCTTCAATATCATAAAATATTCACTGTTCAGATTTCTGTAATTATCTCCTAATTTTCTCTCTCCCTTTCCTTCTCTTTCCTTCTGCTGTTTTTGTGCCTTTATTTCTTCCTTTGCCCACCCCCCTTTTTTTAAAGCAGAGTTGTTTGAATAAAAATCCAAATAAGGGCTTTAGTTTTTAATCTCCGTGTTCTCATTGGCACCTGGCTTAGTGCTTGACATATAGTAAATCCTCAATAAATGTTTACTGAATGAATGACTCATCAGAAATCTATGCACATAAGTAGAATTCGTGTAACCTTACTGCCGTAGTTGGTTGGTTTCTTGGGGTGGCTTTCGGTTTCTGGTCCCCTTAGTTAGGGACTGACTCAGATGCTTGCTGCTATCAGTGCTTGTGAATGTTGCTAAAGGTGTGAGGACAATCAGTGTATCTGTGACTCAGACATCTACAGGCTAGAAGGAAATGGGCCAGACTTTCTTGTCTGTTTTTTGTTCTTAGTCTCTTGGTATCTCACTTTGAGTTTGGACGGACCATGTTTGGCTTTTTTGCTATTTCTTCAGAACAGGGATCCTGAAGGAGCTCCTCAAGAGCATGAACAGAGCTCACATGGTCTGGGTTGTTCAGGGTCATGGGAATGGAGCGAACAAGGTATGGAGAGGTGTTAAAGAATCATCAGGCTTTGATGATGTATCGAATCTGGGAAATAAAAGAGCAAGGTCTGAGGAAATAGGGGTGGCGCAGAGAGAGGTGAGTGAGCTGTGGGGTTGGGAGGGGGAGACCCGGTTTAAATGAGGGGGAATTTCATAAGGAGTTTGGATGTTAGTGTCATGAGATCTGGGAAACAGCCCTCTCTAGTAGGGGCTAGAGAGACAGATGCAGGAGCCATCTCTGGAGAGGTCCTCGAGGCTGTGGAAGAGGGTGGTGTGGAGGTGGACAGTTGGCGTCCCACTACTAGATCTGGTGTGGGGTGCAACGCACGGGTGGGGGGTGGGAGGAAGAGAATGCCTAAGAAGGAAAAGTTGTCTGTGATGCCTTAGGTGTTGTAGAAAAGTGGGTCTTAGACATTGTAGAAGTGAACAATGTGAGGACCGTGAAAAGTTGTCCAAGGATGGACACTGACTTCATGCTGCCTCTAGAGGTCTTGGGTGCAGAGGGGCCAGGAGAAACCAGATGATGAGGAAAGGGGAGTGCAGCACATGTTTCCATGGCTTGGAAGTGAAGGAAATGAGATAATAGGCTAACACTTAGTGGGATTAGTAAATGAAGGGTATTCAGGTTAGGAGAGTTCTGACCTCCCAAGGGGGCAGAAGGAAGGAACTAGGGACTCTGGAGGTGCCTGTGTGCCTGGGCCTGTGGAGACTCTGTGAGTAAAAGCTGTATTCAGCTGCTTCTGATTCACCGGAGACACCTGTGCAGGAAGTGTTACTTGTCCCTAATAAAGAGGCCGGGAGATCTTTGACTCATGAAATCATCTTCTTACCCAGAAGAAAACAGGCAGTTTCTTCTAGGAAGGTTGAAGCTATGGCCTGTTGTTTCTAGATAGACTCACTTTGTTAGCAGGCATGCAAATGACGTGAGCTAATTTTCTGATCACTAGATCAAATATCTATAGACTTGGGCTTGCTCTGACTCAGCAATTTCTCTTTCTTCCTCCTGTAAAGAAGATATTATCTCAAGTAGTATCAACGGCAGCATGTTTTTGTCTAATTTATAATTTTTATTATAAATATAGAGCAAGTTTCACAAATAATTCAGAAGTGGCCCTAGCCAGGCAAAATTAAATAACACAGAGTAGCATAGATGAGGGGAAGTATAAATAGACTGTGTGAGGGTTAGAAAACCCTTGAAAGAGGTACCTGAGTACAGAGAATTCCCAACTAGCCCTCTTTGAGGGGCATCTTAGACACAGCATGACATCAAGTAATCAATACAGAATAAAAGCCTTTTCTCAACAGCCCCAAAGAGACTCCCGTCTGCTTAGAGGGAGGCTGGATGG